CCTCTTCGATCAACCACATTGTCCCATCAATACTTGTGGTTCAACAACACAACAAAGCTCACGTAGAAGAGATGACGGTTTCCAAAATTGTTAATGAGTCTTCTCTAAGTATTAACGGAGATACAAATGTATGAACATAATAAGCTACTGATGTAGCTAGTTGAACCTTGCCTTACGTTAAAGTGGTAAGGATTGTAGAAAGATCGTTCTACCTATAAATAAATAACAATGATTACAAAAAAAAAAAAGATTATGCATCAGATTGTGAGATGTAAACTAGTAGTGATTGTATATAATGATTATGCAGTATAATGTGAATAATTATTATATGGATGCAGAATTGTATTAACTTGTCTTTTGAGTAGTTGTTTTTTTTTTGCAAAATTTTAATTGGTTATAACAAATCGACTACTATATGTAATATACACACAAACAATAAAACACATACATTTGAGACACATTTTTTTTTAATTGAAGGAAAGGATACCACATGTTATTTCGTCTTGATTGCATAAGATGGTATTGGTATCTGTTATGCGGAAACAATGATCTCACAAACTCTCTCGAAGTGAATCTCTCGTTTGTGTAACAAGAAAGTAAAGAACAAAGACACAGGTGTTTTGTTTACCCAGTGTTATCCCGCGATGTGCAGAGATTAGTCACTGGAGCTAGAATCAATCCAGCAAATCCACTAGGTCAGAAAACTCAAGTTCTCAGAAAACCGAGAAACTCTCTCAACGAAGACGACAAATCTATTTTCTGTTGTTATCTCTAACAACCTCTGTTTATCCTTTTATAAACAAGGATGTACAGAACCGGAACAAACCAAAACCTTAACTAACTCGGTTACTCCAAACCGGATAACATAATCGAATTAGCTAAGACCTTCGGTTTCCCACAGAGGCTTTCACTAAGTATTTATTGTTCAGTATAAAGCTATCAATACTTAACAGTATCTACTAGCTATTTTCTCAACCGGGGATGCATAACAAGGTGCTAAAGACCAAATCAAATCCAGATAAACCATCAGACAGGGACGGCGATACTCTTCACACTCTTGCCTCTGCCTCTGGTGGTGGTTCGATTATCCCTCTTGAAAACATGGTATGCGCATTAGAGTACATGATTCTATAGTGGCTTAATATGGATTCTCTCTGATTTAATATGAATCTTAATTTTAACCTTGCCCATTGATCAAGTTTCTACTGATGTTGTAGAGCTTTACAACAATATTCTTTCAATGCTTTCCCTATTTGAACACACTGGTGTAGCTTCCCACACATTCAAATCGGTTTTGGCGCCGTTGATCCGGGCTTAACTTTCAGTTCTAAGGTGCCTGAAACAATGACAATCATTAGATCACACTCTTTAGCCCCAGCTAAACTATGGGCTACAACATTGTTTTGTCTATTATTAGTAAATCTGACGACACAGTTTCGATATTTCTTTCAACTGATGATATCTAAAGTATGTGCTAGAACATTTTTTTGTCTAGTAGTAAATCTGAAGAGACAGTTTCGATCCTTCTTCCAACTGATGATGTATAAGCAAATGTTTTCCTAGAGAAATGAATTTCTATTTAACACCCTTATTTGGCAGCTCCGAAATGATATAAAGTTTTCTAGTAATATAATAGTGATATACAGTTGGGACCAACGAGAAACAATATAATATTGAAATCTCCAGGTATGTACAGATAATTGGTAAGTTCTCAGACTGGCAATTTTTTCTGTGTTTTAAATGATCTCTTTTCGATTGCTGCGTTTGGCTTGCATCTTAATTTACATGTTACTATTAAACAGGTCATGAAAACAACTAGGACATGTATGGTTCGGCTTTTCATGCAAGTGACAAGGACGGTGACGGACTACTAGGTCACAGCTCAGCAGATTCAACCTTTTCTCAAAGCATAGACATGGAGTTACTTATATATATAGATATATGTTGACAACATTTCAGCATAGTTCCTCCATAGACAAGTCTTAAAACATAAAACATCCATTTTTTTGTCCAAATACATTTTTCTATGATCTTATCGAGTTCTTGATAACAGTCTCTTTCTTGATGCTATTTGTCAACTTTATTATACAAACCAATCTCAAATGATAGTTGTTATGTGAATCATTTTAATTGAAAATAATTATACTGTATAAAAATAGGGAAAATTCCATATAAATACCCCAACTAAATTTTATTAAGCTTTTTAATATCTAAACTTTTTCACTACCCAGTTTAATACCTCAACTAATATTTTTACCCATTTTAATATACAAACTTTTATAACTGTGCCCATTTTAATACCCAAACTTTGTTTATCTATTATATTAAAAAAAAAAGAGAAGTCATGACTCACTTCATGTGTGATATTTTAGTTTAGACCATCTTTAGAGTTTTATAAAATTTTACATAACATTATAATATCTTTTTCATATCTTTAATCTTTGTTTGAAATATAAATAAATAGTTTTAATAAAATTGTAACAAAATCTTTTAAAAATCTTTTAGAATCTTTTTCAAGATATAGTTTCAAAAATGATTTGATTAAAATTTTAATTATCATAAAATATAATTACATTTTTAATTCATTTTTAATTTATAAACAAAAAATTAAAATTATGTAAAATACTTTTAACAATATCCCAAAATTTTGTTTATGTGTTATGTAAGTCCAACTTAATTAATTTTTACATAGATTTCAAATTTAGATATAAAACAAAATATATAAATTAGTAATCTTACATAATAATGTTTTTAAAAATTGTTACAAAAATACAAATTTATAAAATTTATATTAATAATATTATAAGTTACATAAAAATTATTAGAAAATTGGATAACATACATAATCAAATTATACTTATTTATTGATAAATTTTATTAAATAATTTCAAATATTTTCGTACTAAAATACCCGCACGGTTGTGCGGGTCGAAATCTAGTTGTAATTAACAATACTAATAAGTTTCAAATAAAATTTTAAAAATTCTCTTAAATCTAAGACAAAATATTTAAAATTTCTAAGTTTACTCTAAGATTTTAGAAAAAAGGTAAATAAACTCTGGAGAAAATATAAATGTTTTAAAAAAATAATTTTGAAGGAAAAATAATAATATAATTCTTTTTTTCAGAAAACAAACTAAATTCAATATATAAAACTTCAAAAAACTTATTACAAAAATTAAGATTATAAAAAAAATTATTAAATTTCATTTCTCTAACTTACAATAAAATCAATTTTTTTTGTAAAGTTTCGAAATTTTAAAAAAATTATTGGAAACTTATTTGTATTGTTAATTAAAATAAACAATCTTAGGTATTAAAATGAGCACATTTATAAAAGTTTGTGCATTAAAATGAGCAAAATAATTAATCTATACTATTAATTTAGAAGTAAATTTGCTTAGTTGTCATGTTCTCCATTAGTTTAGGTAATTTTATTTATATATCATATTTTAAAAAATCTATACTATTATTTAAGAAGTAAATTTGCTTAGTTGTCATGTTCTCCATAAGTTTAGGAAATTTTATTTATATATCATATTTTTAAAAAATATTAAATTAAATATTATGTTGTTATCTTGAAATATATATTTATATATAAAAATTCAATTTTAAATTAAGATATAAACACTATTATGTTTACCTACAGCAAATTTCTATTAATAATTTAATATTTGAATAAAACTAAAACGAATTTATATTAATAATTTCATATTTTTCTAAAATAAGATAATCATTATGTATTATGTTGTTATGTTGAAAATATATTTTCCTATTATAAAACTTAAAATTAAGATATAAAAATTATATAATTAATAATTAAATATAAACCATCAAAACAATTATTTGAAAAGTGAATTTTTTTATTTGTCTTCATGATCCTAGATAATTTTGACCATTTATCAGAATCCTATAATTTTGTTTATTATTAATTATATAATTAAAACTAAATTATATTAATAATATGATATTTTAGAAAATAATATAATTCTTATGTATTATGATGTTATCTTGAAAAATTATTTTTCTATTATAAAATTTAAAATTAACATGTAAAAAATCTATAATATTATTTAAGAAGTGAATTTTATGTTTGCTGATTTGTCATATTTTCTACAATTTTAGTTAATTGTGATAATTTATCATAATTTCTATATTTTTATATATAATTTATTATCTATTTTTTAAAAAATTATATTAATAGTATCAGATTTTTAGAAAATAAGATACTTCTTATATATTAAGTCGATGTCTTGAAAATATAATTTCTATTAGAAATTTAAAATTAAAATATAAAAAGTTGTAGTTATTCTATAATAGAAATAATTTTACACTAATAATATTATAATTTTAGAAAATAAGGTAATTCTTATGTATTATGTTGTTATCTTGAAAATATATTTTTATATTATATAATTTAAAAGTAAAATAGAAAATTTATCTATTATTAATTAAATATAAATCATTACTCAAGAAAAAATATTTAAGAAGTGAAATTTTTGATTCATTAAGTTCTCATAATTTTAAGTAATTTTCATTATATGTCATAATTTCTATAATCTTATATAATTAAAACAAATTTATAATATTATATTTTCAAAAGATAAATAACTTATGCAATATATTTTATCTTTAAAATATGTTTTCTATTATAAAATTTAAAATAAAGATAAAAATTTATAATTATAAATTAAGTAAAATATTTGTATAAACTTATTATGCTGATTTTTAAATTAATAAAATATCAATTCATAAATATTCATAAGAAAATTATGCCCGCAAGTGCGGGCAAAACACCTAGTTGGATATTGAATTAAGTATCGAAAAAGTTTGGGTATTAAAAAACTTAATAGAATTTAGTTAGAGTATTTTTATGGAATTTTCTCAAAAAAAATATATTTTCAGTCTGTTACTAGCCTGGAAGCATTGTCAGAAACCTCGCACGTGCCAAACACACGTACCAAAATCAAACCCGAGTGTCTCTCACCCATTTATTAGGAAGGAAGAAGAAGAGAAAAAAAAAAACGAAACACACCAATCCAGATCTGCACTCACACAGGGTGCTCGCTCGCTCGCTCGTAACTCCGGGATCAAAAAAAAAAATGGCGGCAGCGACGAGACAACTACGCACACTCCAATCCCACGCGGAAAACAAAATCTGCGTCGACTGCTCCCAAAAGAACCCCCAATGGGCCTCCGTCTCATACGGAATCTTCATGTGCCTAGAGTGCTCGGGTAAGCACCGCGGCCTCGGCGTCCACATCTCCTTCGTGAGATCCGTGACCATGGACTCCTGGTCCGAGATCCAGATCAAGAAAATGGAGTCCGGAGGCAACGATCGGCTCAACAGCTTTTTATCGCAGTACGGAATCGCCAAGGAGACGGATATCGTCGTTAAGTACAATTCGAACGCTGCTTCGGTGTATCGCGATCGGATCGCGGCGTTGGCGGAAGGTAGGTCGTGGAGTGATCCGCCGGTTGTGAAGGAAGGGGGGAGTGAGAAGAAGCCTCCGTTGGGTCAGGGAGGGTGGGATGCTTGGGGAGGGGATGATGATTCGGTTAGATCTGATATGAGGAGGAATCAATCGGAGAATGATTTTAGGGGGGGAGGAGGAGGAGGTGGGGGTGTGAGGGGGAAGACGAAGTCGTTGGAGGAAGTTTATACGAGGTCGCAGCTTGAGGCTTCTGCTGCGGGGAAGGAGGGTTTTTTTGCGAGGAGGATGGCGGAGAATGAATCTAAGCCTGAGGGGCTTCCTCCTTCCCAGGGAGGCAAGTATGTTGGGTTTGGATCGGGTTCTTCGGGTCCTGTAGCGCCGAGAAGTAATCAGCAGGATGATGTTTTCTCGGTTGTTTCTCAGGTGATTTTGGTGCATTTTTGTATCAACTCCTTGAATGGCATGAAAATGATGATATATGTACTCACCTGATGGGTTTGGTTATTGAAAATTGATAGGGCTTTGGAAGATTGTCTATGGTTGCTGCATCTGCGGCTCAGTCAGCTGCAAGTGTTGTTCAGACAGGAACCCAAGACTTCACTTCCATGGTACTTTTAACACTTTCACTCTGCTTTGGTTTCCTAGGATGCAATTTGAAAGGCTACGTTTTATTTGGGTCAATATGGAGTTTTTGGTGAATATATGTAGTCTCTGTGTTGATGCTTAGCTTAATCTGTCATTTGGTTGCTAGTAATCACATTTTCGATGTTGTTTTATAAAAGATTTGGTGTCCTGTCTAGTGAGATTCTTTATAACTCTGTATAAAGTTACACGAAGGCCGATTTCTAGTCTCCTTGTCTAGTCTCTATGTTGATGCTTAGCTTAATCTGTCATGTCAGTAATCATATTTTCGATGTTGTCTTGTAATAGATTTAGTGTCCTGTCTAGTGAGATTCTTCATAACTCTGTATAAAGTTATACGAAGGCCCACTTCTAGGAGTCATAAAGAAAAAACTAGTGTGTGTATGTGTACTTGGTCATGAGAGTCTTTAACCTATTTTAGTATGAGTAGTGTATATAAGGGGATTGGGGAGAGCTTAGAGAAAGGGCATCTAGAGATGAGAGACTCCAATATCTCTCAAGTTTGTGACACAGTACCATAATCAGTAATACAAACTTTTGCTTTAGTTTATCTCTGCTTTATTTGAATTGATACGTTTATCAAATCATAAAGCACTATATTTGGATGGTCTCTAGTATACATTTTCTTTTCTTACCATTGTACTGCTGACAATAGAGTTTTAGTGAAGTGAATTCAAATATCAGATAAAGAAACTTTTATTTTATTTCCAGGTGAAGGAAGGTGGGTACGATCACAAGGTCACTGAAACTGTAAATGTAGTAGCGACTAAGACAACAGAGATAGGACATAAAACATGGGGGATCATGAAAGGAGTAATGGCAATTGCCACACAGAAGGTGGGAGAGTACACTAAAGAAGGAACAACAAGCTGGAATCAGAACAGTGAAAGTGAGAGCAATGGTTACTACCAGAACTATGGAAGTGGAAACAAAGCAGCAAATCCATCTGCTGGAGGAGGAGTGTCACAGTCATCATCAACTGGTCATTTCAACAATTCTCAGAATTCAAATTCTTGGGACGATTGGGGAGAGAATGAAAGCACAAAGAAAGAAGCAGTAGCTCCAAAGGGGTCATCTGCTTCTAACGATGACGGTGGCTGGACTGGTTGGGATGATGAGTTTGACGGTCATTACCAAAGTGCCGGGGACAAGAAATCTGTTGGTCACAATGGGAAACCAGACAACGCTTGGACTGGTGGAGGTTTTCTCTAAAGGTAACCAATCTTTGTGTAAGATCCATAGCCCCGACTGTTTTTGCGAAAGATTTTCACAATTTTAATTTATATTCAACTGTAATCACAACTAAACATTCTTTTTTTCAACCCCCAAAACTGTCTTTCTTGTGTCCGTATCTTGATTAACGTTCATTAAAGCATACACATGATTACAATGTTTCATGCACATTGTCTACAAATTTAGAAAGTGAGAATTCTTCTCCAAGGTATCATCATCATCATCATCTTGACCTGAAAGTTCTCCTGGGCTGGCGACTATCCAATACACCACCAAGAGTAGCCAAAGCATCTTGAAACTTCCTGATCTTAACCAAACCTTTCACCATTGAAACTTCTTCCTCTGAGAATTTCGCTTTCTGCATCACCATGTTCATTAACTTAACAAGTGTCTCCTCCATCGACAACGCCAGAAGACCTTCAGACAACATGTACAACGAAGAAAACTCAGGCACAAACCCTTTCTCCAACAGCTCAACAAGAAAGTCAACTGCTTCACGGATTGGTCCACCTCCATTACACAGCCCACGGAACACGATTCTGTAAGAGACTGCGTCTGGTCCTGCTTCACTCTTCTCAAGCATTTCTCTAAACAAGTTTATAGCTTCTGTCGTTTTCCTCTTTCTGAACAGCCCTTGAATCACAGGGTTATAAGCGTGTGGTGTCAACGCAATCCCTTTCATCTGAATCGACCTCAGAAGCTTACTCGCAACTTCAACTCTACCAGCTTTACACAACCCACTTATCAAGGTCCCATAGGTCACTATATCTGGCTCACACCCGTTTGAAGTCATGGCTTGAACTATATCAGCAGCTTTCTTGATGTCACCACCTCTGCAGAAATGAGTTAGAAGTGAATTGTATGTGAACTTGTCAGCTTTATGTCCTTCCATTATCATCTGATCCATGAGCTGAGCTGCGTCTTCTACTCTCCTGCTTTTACAAAGCCCATCAATGAGTGTGTTGTACGTCACCGAGTTTCTCGAAACCCCATGTACTTCCATCTCATCGAATATCTCCTCAGCTTCTCTGATCTTGTTGGCTTTACAGAACCCATCAATCAAAGTGTTGTAAGTTATCACACTCCTTGCACAACCACTAGATTCCATTTGCTTAAGCATGTTTAGAGCCTCATCTAGCTTCCCTTTAGAACACAAGCTATCAATCAACATGTTGTACGTGAACTCATCAGGCTCACATCCTTTGCTCCTCATCTCTTCAAACAGCTCCATCGCCACACGGTGATTCCTAGTCAAACACAAGCCTTGGATCAACGAATTGAATGTACAAACGTCTGGGAGAATTCCTTTACTGGTTAAAACACGTGCAAGCTCCGTAGCTTCTTCAACCTGATTCTCCTTACACAACGTACTAATCAAAGTGTTATAAGTAACCGTATTCGGAGAACAATCTCTACTAATCATCTGATCAAGAACCTCCACCGCTTCTTTCACCTCACCCAATTTACACAAACCCGAGATCACCGAGTTGTAAGTATACACATCAGGATCATACCCTTCTTGAAGCATCACATCCATAATCTCAATCGCATGCTTCACATGCCCCGCTTTACACAACCCATTAACCAACGTGTTAAACGTGTACTGATCCGGGAAAAACCCGCCTTCATTCGACATCTCCTGAATAAAATTAAGCGCCTCTTCAACTCTCCCTTCTTTACAGAACCCATGAACAATCACATTAACACTAACATTACTCCAAGAACACCCAAACTCAACCATATGCTCTCTAATCCTCAACGCACCGTCCAAGTCCCCTTCTTCAATGTACCCTTGCATAATCGTAGTGAAAGTCTTCTCATCAGGGACAAGACCGTAACTAGACATATCCTCCATCATCAACACAGCAGGTCTAAGCTGATGAGCCTTACACAAGGCTTTGATAAGGACATTAAAAGTGGAGACATCTGGTTTAATCCCCCAAACACTCATCTCCTCGTGCGCGGTTTCAACGAGTTTTAGATTGTTGCCGTCAACGAGAAGGTTCAAGATCCGGTTGTAGAAATGGGTATCGGGTTTTAACCCGAACTCGTCAATCATCCAATGAACAGTGGGGAGGATCTCGTCGTGAAGGTCGAATTGAGCGTAGCTTTCGAGCAAGATCAAGAATTGGGAAGTACCCATTTGGCAGGAGGAGGTGTTCATGTCGGAGAGGATGTTTTTCATGGAGTCGAAGGAGGCGGAGCGGCTTAGACGGAGGAGGATCTCGTCGTAGAGAGCGGCGTCGGGGGAGAAGTTGGGGTGTTTGGAGGCGGAGTTGAAGAGGCGGAGGGCGGAGGAGGAGTCGGGTTGGGAGCGGAGGGAGTCGAGGAGGTTGGAGGCGGAGGAGGGGGAGAGAGCGAAGGAGATTGTGGAAGGAGGAGGAGGGGTTGGTTTGAGAGAGAAGGGTTGGTGGGAGATGGAGAAGGGATAGAGTTTGAGGCAGGAGGAGAAGGCCATTTGTTTGTTTTTGAAGTGGAGAGAGATGGAGAATGTGAGTTTCTGTGAGATGAAGGATAGAGGAGACGATGAAAGAGGTTTAAGGATTTGGGTAAGATGTTTTGAACAATCTAGAAATCGACCGAACCGGTTGTCCTACTTGGTTTTGTCAAACCGGATAGATTCTGATTAAAAGAAAACTCATTTCATTTCATATGTATTTTTTTAATTTGGACTATCTTAAAAAAAGGACTATCTTAAAAATTTTATTAAATTTTATATAACATCATTATATGATATATTTTCTTCTCTTTAATTTATTTGAAATACAAAAATATTTTTAGGAAAATTCTAAGATTTTTTTTTTGATTTTTTAAAATATATTTTCGAAAATTAGTTAATTAAAATTTTAATTATCAGAAAAATATAATTTAAAAAAAAATTATTCATTTTTTATTTATAAAAAAAATTATGTAAAATACTTTTAAAAATATCTTAATAATTGCTTATATATTATGTGTGTGCAACTTAATTTAATTTTCATATATATTTCAAATTTAAAAATAAAATAATATTTCCTTTACATAATAATATCTTTTTACACTGTATAAAAATACAAAATTCTAAATTTTATAGTATAACATTTTAAAACCACATAAATTATTATAAAATTAGATAATATGTAAGATCAAATTATATTAATATATTAATATATTTTGTATAATCTAAAATTTTTAAGTGTTTAAACTCGCACGGTTCTACGGGACGATATCTAGTATAAGTTAAAAAGAAGTCAAAACTCACATGAAAACCACTAAACCAGTGTTGATGTTGCAGATAAGTTGATAATATAATATTTGTGTTGTTTGAATACCAGAATGTGTAGATGATGATGTGTTTGTCCACAAAGATGAAATACTACTTTGAACATTCATTTAATCGAAACTTGAATCAGATTACACTAAACCAACAAGAAAACCTAATCTGAGAAGACGGATAGTAACCGGTCAACGATATCAAAGGCGAAAGATACGCGAACACTAATTCATGGGCCAATGTAAGTTATAAAAGGCCCAACAGAGATATGATGCGTGATATGTTCAAACAATTACCGGAACTAGTGGAATCGTCAAACAAACCCAAAATAGCACAAGATTTCACATATGTAAAAAAAAAAAACAAATCTTGGGATAATAATCCCGTAATTGTAGAATTAAATCAGAAATCCACAAAATAAATCGCTAGAAAATCGATATTCATTAACAAGAAAAGCTGTTCATTCAAAGGATCACACTAACCGAATACAAATCAATTCAACCCAGAACGATACATCATCAATTAATCCTAAAAACATTTTTCAAACCCTAAGTGCTTGTGAATTTGGTAACCGCTTTCGTCCCCTCAGAGACGGCGTGTTTCGCGAGCTCTCCAGGCAACACAAGCCTAACCGCCGTCTGGATCTCCCTCGACGTAATCGTCGGTTTCTTATTATACCTAGCGAGCTTCGACGATTCCTGCGCCAATTTCTCGAATATGTCGTTGATGAAACTGTTCATGATCCCCATGGCTTTCCCTGAGATTCCGATGTCGGGATGAACCTGCTTGAGGACCTTGAAGATGTAGATCTTGTATGTCTCGACGCTCTTCTTTGACTTCTTCTTCTTCTTGTCGCTTCCTCCTTCTTTTGAGATCTTCTTTTCTGCTTTTGGACGCTTCTCCGCCGGGGCTTTCTCGGCTGGCTTCTTCTCTGCTGGTTTCTTCTCTGCTGCCTTGGGAGCCATTATCGATTTGGTTATTTTTTGGTGATTGAGAGGGTAAAGATGTTTGATTGGAAAGATGCGTCTGTGAATGAAAATTTCTGGAGGAACGGGTTTTTATTATATAGAAGCTTGTGTTTGCTCTTATTGGTTATCTGTGCTTCACGCGGATTGATGACGTGGCGCACATCGGAAGACTTTGAATGAGCGGACAGGATCCTCTAATAGTTTTATACCTCTTTCTTTAGTCAAGCTCATGGGCTCTAACATTTTAACTATTCTGATGGGCTTTTATTTTATAACGACCCATGACCTGGCCGGGCCATTATTCATGTGGTTACTAGATGTTATAACATCTTCGTATAATACTCTTTGGCACTAATTACATTTTATTTTATTTTCACATTATCATCCTCGTACCGGAAACTGGAGTTACATTGCAGCTGCAGTAGTATTGGAAAATGAGTGATTCATCAAGACAAGAAAGAGAAACAAAGGAAAAGTTCAAAGCTTTTGGGTTCAATGATCATAAGCCTGTGTAATCTTTGCTCTGTTCACCAACATGTATTGTAAATTTGGATCAGAAACAAAGGTGATTCACCCATGGGTTTACTGTTTTAAATAGAACGGAACAGAACCCGTAAATCTACCAAAGCATTATGTTTCGCTATCCTGAGTTGTTTGTCCACACATCCGAAATCTTCCTGAGCAATGTGACCTCTCACTGCCAAGTGCTCCTACGAATTTAGGCCCTGCCAATTCACATGAACCATGTAAATGCAGTGATTGAGTCAACCTTTTGCGATATCTAAGCACAAAACAATCAAGGTACAGCTGGAATCTAAAGTGAAACAAGCTTATAAACTAACAGACACTTTTAAAAAAATGGTTATCAACTGCATATGAAAAAGCAAGATTAAAATCTAGCACTGCAAATACTATACAGTAGATCATCACACGTATGGACATCACATGATTATCTATACAACACTGGCAACAAAGGTTCTTAGACATAATACTCAAGAAATTATAAAATCATCAATGTTGTTTTCATGGCAATAAATACCATCTGAGATTCTGAGAACTATAGTGAACTGTACAACTACAAGAAAGCAATATACCAGTTATCAAGTCTCACAATATACATTGTGAGCTAAATTATGTAACGGAAGCAGCGGTGAAGAAGAGCAAAAGTACAACAATTAATAAAAGGCAACGTTTACAAAAACATAATGAAGTTGCAATAAACAAGACCAGAGATTGAATATTGACATGCACTCTGATCATAGTTGGGAAGCAGCCATCCACAGAGCAAGAAAGGAAAAATAGATTCAAAGCAGGGAATGTCAAGAAAACTTGCAAACACTCTAATAAGAAATGACGAGAATTAACTCATCCTGTTTAACGAACCGTGTGTCATGCCAAACGCAACGACCACAACCGAAAACTGGCCTACCCTGTAACTACATCTAGGAAACAACATGTGAACACTATCAGATTTCAATTTTTTTTATCTATCAGCAAGTTAATGGTGTTGCCAAGATCCCTAGAGTAAATTTGATTTAAAAACAGAATTAATGGCACGTAGCTAACCTAACTTGTATCCGACTCATTACCAAACTAATAGCAAACAATCATACCAAAACACCTGAGCCATTTGGTATATCTCTCATACTCATACTCTACACATGACCCAAAACTTTGCTTAGACATTCTAAATAATCCAGACAGTGACACAAGACAGAATGATCAAAAGTCAATTAAAAAAAAAAGACAAACCTTGAGGAACCGATGTTGATGTTCCTATGAAGAACCCTACCACGATCACAATCTCCACCATCAATCAACTCTCTCAAACCCAAACTCTCCTCCTCTTCTTTCACCTCCTTCTTCTCCTTCCCTCCACCACCACTCTTCAACACCTTCACAGGCAACCTCTCGAAATAATTCCCATAAATATACTCAGGAGTATACCCATTCTCCTCATCGAAAAGCATAATATGCCCATGCCACTCCCACACCCTATAATCCGACTCCTCATCCTCGTGAAACCCCACGCAGATGTGATGCTCGTTGACCGTAACTGCCTGCCCCGAGTTCGGCTTCAGAGAATCGATTCGACCAGAGACGATGACGCGGATCAGCTCCTTCTCCAGCTTGGCTTCTTCTCGTTCGAGATTGTTGTGGGAATCGAAAGTGTATTCTTCTTCGTCTTCGTCGTTGTCGCTGTGGTCGGATTTGAAGAGGAGGAGGTCGTCTAGGGATTGGGAGAGGAAAGGGGAGGTTTGGGGACGGATTTGGAGGCGGCCCAGTAGGGTTTGGAGTAGGAGATTGTTGTTGTTTCCGTTGAAGGAGCTCATCGTTGGTTGTTCGTGGTGGCGAATCGTTCTTCTTCTTCTTGGACTACTTTTTTTTCGTCGTCGTAATCGTAGGTAGGAGAGGCGTCCCTACTCGGGTTTTAGAGATAGGAAAGGGTTTTTGTTTGACCAAGACTGTATTTTGACAAAAGATTAGTTTTATATATAAATAAACGTGGGTAAGCCGGTAAGCTTTTTAAAAAATGGAAGGTTGAATTGACAAATATTGACTTTGTAGGCATCAAATTTCAAGGTTTTATATATTGTTTCATTTTAGTTGTTATTTTAAATTTGTACATACAGACTAAAAATTTGTTTTTTTATATTTAAAAAAAAAAAACATAATTATATATATAAGCCATATTTCAACAAATAAAATTTTAGAATATTTATAAAATTAATAAATTTTCTATTGATATTATAAAACGACACTTATTTTCAAACAGAATTATATTAAAAAGAGAACACTAATTATTATATACTAGGATTATGGCCCATGCTATGCATGGGCATAGTATTGTTTGTTATACAATTCTATTCTAAATTCAAAAATAATATTCTTAATCAAATTTTGATTAGAATTTATTAAATCTGAAGATAAATATAAGTAGTTGTGAATGAAAATAAAGAAATATTGAAAGTTTGATATACCTATATCTTAGCTAAAATATTAGAATTAACTAAAATATCTCTTTAAACAATTGACCTTAATCTTGTTCTTACCACAATAATATACCATGTTCAAATTTCTCATTGGTAAAATGACCTAACTTTTCCTTTGCCCTCTAAGGCATAATGAACCAAAAATTCTAGTAGAAAAAAGCCTAAAACATAATTTTATGGTTAACTGAATATAAGTGTGAAAATACTCACGTTTGTATTCCAAATCAAATTAAAGTTTGATTTCTGAATCCGGTTTGTAAATAGTCAATCCTTTTTTTTTTGTCAAAAATGGGAAAGAGGTATGGAAATTATGCCTTAACTCTTCTTATAGATCATATATAATTATTGTTACCTTAGTTGTTGACAGTGATTTGATTCTTCATTTTTGGGAAGAATTAAGCTCTTAAAGAGGAGGAAAATCCACAGGCGTCTTTAATTTGAAATTGTAATCATGCAAAAACAAAACAGAGTATCAAGTTTTTTTAAAGAATGTTAAATTTTCATATCAAAAAACAGATGAACAAAGAATATGGTTTGGTTTTATAACTCAAACGACATTTAGATTGAAAAATAAAAACAGAGTTGTTTCTGCAGAAGAAATACATTTTTTAAAAAACGGAGCTTTAGTTCTTCCTTTTACTGACAAAACTGAAGCCAGATTCTCATTGCTTTGTCAAAACGTGTACTCCCCTACCAGTGAGTGTGGAGATTCTTTGACGCACCTGCTTGTCCAATATTCGAATGAGTTGTGCTGGTGTTTGATGAACTTCTTGTCGTCGACCATTCCTTTCGCCGTTTCGCGCCAACTGCAATGGATTGCGGCTCAACAAATTGACGAAGAACACTAAACTGTAGAGAAAAAAAGGGAGAGTAGATAGAGTAAACAAATTCATTGAAAGTTATACTGAAAACAAAACCGTTTGAAACTTGCCATGATTTAGCAGTTGTAGATGAAATGGTTTATCTTTGAACGTGGTGATAAAGCTTTGGTTAAATATAGGGATTAAAAAATAATTACATTTAGAAAATTAAGGATTTGATTTTTGTTGTTGTGATTGCGGAGAAACCGTTTTTTTTTCCTGAAAATCTGAAATATTTAATTAATCCTATTAAAAATAGAAAAACAAAAACAAAATAAAAAAGAAATTTACAAATGACACATGTCAGTCATAGAATTGTCAAATGACTTCTGCTTTATATAATAAAAGATTATCAACAACAGCTAATTAGTTAAATTTTAAATTGAAATTTGAAAATTGAAAAATGAAATACAGTATAATCTAACAACTAAATATTGATAAGACATCAAATAAAATGAAATGAAAAGAGTAAATATTAATTATTATATATAATATTAAGAGAACTTATATTGCATAGAATATGTATTTTTTGTTTTACCAATTTAACTGAATTAGATTAATTTATAGTTTCTGTTATATGACGAAATGGAGTATAACTTAATAAGAAGTAAATAGAAATAGAGTATTGTTGATGTCAAAAAAATAAAGAAAAAAGAAATAGAGTCTTGTTCGTAAGTTGAAAAGCATGAAGTAATAAAAAAAAAGGTCGGCCATGGATCTTCACAGATTTAATAAATGAAAATTTTCAACAATTTATCAATATTGTAATGACTCAAAATATGAAAGTGAAGAACAGACAAAAAATGGGTAAAATAACAACGTTCTCAGTTTCTTTGACATTTTTTCGGCATCATCTACCGGATTCAACAAAAGAACATACACAAATACATCCTTTTTGAGAATCCTAACATATAGATATGTAAGTATTTATACTTGAGTATACACTTCACATCTGTCAAGAAAACAGATGTGAAAATATGCATTTGTTAACTTTCTTCATTGCTTGGCTGGTGGTGAAAGAGATCATCGTCTCAAGGTCTCCATGACGTAATCCGCATAGAGATCCCTACAATGTCCCAAAAGATTACATTAACTGTAAGTCCATACTATATAGTATAATAATTATTATATAACAGTCAGTTTCATAGAAATCTTACATGGAGTGCTGAACTGCTTCATAGGCTGCACTAGCGGGAAGGAAATCGTTAACGGCTACTTCCTTGTTCTCATTTTTCTTGTCTGTGACAAGAAGATCCAAGAACATGAGTCTCATCATATATTTCGCACGTGCCATGGCCATGACCAATATGGTTTACCATTATCTCATATCATTCATAGACAAATAAAGTTGAAAGAAGATGAAGAAAGAACACTCACAGTCTTCAAAGAAACGACGAATCTCAGCAAGACGATGAGGAGGAAGCTCCTTGATGTCATTGTAATGACGGTACTCTGGATCGTCAGCGCAAACAGCAATGATCTTGTCGTCTTTCTCACCCTTTTTAAAACACATAAAGAGCATCTGGTTTCAGTATCTTTTTGGCCTTATAAGAACAGATTGACATATTGTCACTCAAGGATGTTGATTTTTAAAAACCTGATCAATCATTGGCATAAGACCAATGGCTTTGGCCCGAAGAAAGCATCCTGGGATCACAGGTTCCTGTAGAACAAATAACAATATATGATTCACATGGCATTTGTTTTCTATTGCTCAAACAATACAGACTAAGAAGAAGCAGTAAAACCTGCTTTTCTAATTCAATTTCACCAGGCCAAAGAGAAATGATTAGTGAGACACCTTTACAAGCCTAGTTTTCATTAAATGCTCTCTAACAGACTCAACAACATCTCTTATCAGCTTCATTAAGTCCTATGCTAGATACGGTAGGAACTGGGACCTATATCTAAAATTGGAGCTGTTCAACTTCTTCAAAATGTGATGCATAGTACAACTTTTCAACATTTCATTGCAAAAAGAAAAGGAGTTAACCTGCATGATGACAAGAACATCAATAGGGTCATTGTCCTCACAGAGGGTACGCGGAATGAACCCATAGTTGTGTGGGTACACAACAGATGAGTAAAGAATACGGTCCACCTGAAAAGAACCATGTAATGTTTAAAACCATGGTGCACGTCTTTAACAGTGAAAAGGGACAACAAAGAAAGATATTGTAATGAAGTTAATACCTTGATGAGACCCGTAGTTTTGTCGAGCTCATACTTCACCTTGCTACCTTTTCCTATCTCAACCACCTGCAGTGACACCGCCATATGCTTTGTTAATGATTCCCAAAGAAATATCTCAACGAATAAACTCTTAAACAGCTTTCCTAATCAGTTAATAGAACTCATTTAATATCATATAGCAAAGTCAATCCAGATCTCAAGATATACAGATTAATCTCCAAATACCCACAATGCCATTCTTTTGTGCCAATATCTAATTATCAATCCTTTGTTACTGTAACGTTACCAAAATATACTTACACAGTTGAAGATAACTGGAGCTTCAGGTCCTATAAAACAAAGCAAACAAATGTTAATACTAGAAGCAAAATAATCATCTTTAAACCTGAATAAGAAAAGGAAACGTTACGTTATAGCTTTACCTATCTCAAGATCATGCCAAGGGTGTGCAGCAACTGATCTCTGAGTCATGGACGAAAGTATCCTCTCGTTAAGAGGAGGAAGTGAAGATTGTTTCTCAGCATAGTTTTTGGTGGTAGCAATCTCAATCGGTGGCGCCATCTCTGCAAACAATGCACATATCAAACAGAACACCATTAGTAAATGCATCCATGAAGCAACAAAACACGGAAGAAAAGCAAATGTCTAACACAAACTATGGTGATCAATCTTTACAAATGTAATATACAACCAAAGATCCAATCTTTACATATGTAGATGAATACAAAACGCAATGCTTGACACAGAGAGACCCAAGAAGATACAAGATTTTTATTAGAGAATAGTTATAGAAACGTCCAAGAAACGCATAGATATTTTTGTATTGCAGCAGTTTATGGATCTTTAAATGTTATCTAACGACAAAACCAATCTTTCGTAAGTTCGAAACCCAACTCAGATCTACAGGTCACAAGTCCCTCATCTCATGGCTTGTGCAAGTAGATTAAAACACTCAACCCCTAGAAACCTAATGAAGAGGAAGAAACAAATCCGATTTAAAAAAAAAAACATTTCGAACTCCGTACCTGAGAAAAAAAAAGTGACGCAAGAAGAAGAGAAACACAAGCACAGATCTCGAGAAGAACAGAACCAAGAAGCAACGATGCAGAGAGGAAAGCTAAAGGAGAATGTAGGTAGCTGTAAACTATACGCGTTCCCGCTCTCTCTTTACGCTGCTTCTCTGCTATTTGAAGGCTCCATTTTTTTAATTAAAGAAAAATTTAATAAATCCGAGGAAAATTAATCGAAAATAATATCTTTAATTTTGGAAATTAAAATCGAATATGTTAAGCTGACAAAAAAAAACGAATATGTTGTAGGGGACGAATATTTCGTGACACGTGTTAATATGTTATTGGATATTGGAGAGAGACATAGACGGAATGCCTAACGTGAGAGTCCCCCACTCTCCAAATTCTAATTGCGAAGAGTCCACGTTAAGTCTCCGTTAGCTACCGTTGATTATTGGAGGAATATGCTGCAAGAGCGAGGAAGGTATAGTAGTATTTCGGTGTTGGCGAGTGCACCGAAAGTTCGTGTTCGTGTTTATGACAGGCAATTTATTTCGTCGGTGGATTACAAACGGCAATTAAAAGAAAAGAGGATATGTAATCTTTCAAAGTGAATATTCGTTTTTCCTTTAATTTGCAAATTTAATCTAGAAGGTGTTTCTAGTTGGTCGTGATTAATGCTATTAGGATAACAAATACTATTACGTATTAGAAATCTATTTACCATATAAAAGTCATAAAGATTCAAAAATTTGAACTTACCATTCCATTAAACTTTACCATATGATTGATTTTGTGATTACTGTTATAAAGCAAGAATTAGTCCACGTGCGTTACCACACACGTAGAAACATTTCAAATACTAATATCAAATGGTGCCGGATAAAGTGGAAATAAATGAATAGTCGTTTTATTTCTGGCTACGAATTATAGTTAATATCCAAATATGTTAGATAAGCGGATAAAGTGGAGATAAATGAAATAACAATCACAAACCGCGTAATAATTGCAATCTACACTTAAACACAAATATATCGTATGATTTAGTTTTCTTTTTGGTTATCTCTAGTAAGATATGTTGATTAAAGTTAGCTTTCCTTTATTGTCAATGCATGGAAACACTCTTCGAATCCATTTAAAAAAAGGAACTCGATCATGTGTGATTATGAAAAGACGAGATTCTTATTGGCTGTGAGTAGTGTAAATATGGTGGATCTGTCCGCAGGGGATGATCGGTGGCCGGATGGGGTTGAGTAAAGCCTGCTCCAACCATGCAGTAGATATAGATGCTACGTAGGATCATTGTAAGAATATTCCTAATCCTATCTACGCTTTTATTCATTGGATGATTATTTCCTTAACACCCAAGACAACAAAAAAGGTTTTAAGATATCTTTAGTACCAATTGTCAATCGTTACACTTTTCACCTTTGCTTAGCCTTGGAGTTAGTGGGAGGATTCTCCAAGCTAGAGTTTTGCTGATTTACGAGTGAAGAGATCAAAAACAACTTTTAGTTAAGAGCTTAATCGTTAGTACTATTTAATCTTGTAATCGTCTAAACTTAGTTAGGACAAACTTGAATGTAGAAAACTACTACTACGTGCTGAAAAGTAGAAGTAACCAAAAGTCACAATAGTTACAAAACGATAGAGTGTCTTCCAGAATTACATTATTCCAATACAAATTGTTGGAGGTAGACCTCGTACGTTAATCAATGTTCGATCTAAGCTGAAAAAAATAACTTGTTTTAAAGGTCCAAAGCAAAAACGAGGAAATGTCACTCAAAGACAAACCCTAACAAAAACGAGTGACAATTTGTAGAATATAGACGATATAGCATTTCAACATTAACCAAGACTGAATGAGACTTCATCTATTACGATATACGTGTCACACATATTTACTTTTACCCTTGTATAGTCTTACCGTGTGTATTTACTACTAGTATATATACTCCTCATGTACATACATTTGACGGTTAATGTAAGATTAATAGAGTTTGTTACAATCTCTCTCCTCTTTGTTTCTCTCTCATTCAAGCTTTCCTCCATAGCTGTGATATGGTATCAGAGCAAAGCAATCTTCCGCTCAAATCTTCATGAGTCTCTCTCGTTCTCAGATCGTTCGTCATCTCTTTCTTTCCCTCTTTCAATTTCTCGTTCAATCGATCGATACCGTACTGTTCATCGTCTTCCTCGTTCTCCGATCTTGATTCCGATCGATTGCGATGTCTCGTTCTCAATCTTCTTCGGATCTTTATGAGAATCCGTTTTCCCTTCATCACAACGATCATGCCGGTCTTGTTCTTGTTTCCGAGAAGCTCACCAGTGGTGCGGATTTTCATTCTTGGAAACGATCGATTCGCCTCGCGCTTAACCTCCGTAATAAGCTGGGGTTTATCAATGGTACGATCTCGAAACCTCTTGATACTGATCCTACTTATGGATCGTGGTCTCGCTGTAACGACATGGTTGCGACTTGGTTGCTTAACGCTGTTAGTAAACCGATTAGTGCTAGCTTGCTTTACATGTCTACTGCGACTGAAATCTGGAATAGTTTGTTGAATAGATTCAAACAGGATGACCTTGCTAGGATCTTTGAGATTATTGAACAGAGTCTTTGCCTAGTTAATCAAGGTGCTCGAGATGTTAGTACTTACTATACTGAGTTAGTCACTCTTTGGGAGACTTATGTGAATTTTGTGGAGGTTCCCGTATGTACTTGTGGCAAATGTGACTGTGGTGCTGCTAAGAATTGGAAGATAATGATGGATCGTAGTCGAGTTATGAAGTTCTTGATGGGATTAAATGAGGCGTATGAAGCAACAAAGCGTCAAGTTCTTATGATCAAACCTCTTCCTTCTATAGAAGAAGTGTTTAACATGGTTTGTCAAGACGAAAGACAACGTGTTCTGAAGCCGGTCACTAATGTGGAGAATGTGGCATTTCAAGCTTCAGGATCTTCTGCTACTGCTCAAGCTGATCATTTTGCTGCTTACAGCAATTACAAGCCGCGTCCTCGCCCTGTTTGTACTCATTGTGGAGCGATGGGTCATGTGGTTAATAAGTGTTTCAAACTCCATGGATATCCTCCGGGTTATGAAGGTTATAAGGGTTCTCAGTCTGGTTCTAAAGGTTCTTATCCTCCTAAGGCTGGTAACTCTTCTCAACGCTCTTCAGGCCATCAGTCATGGAAGCAACCTAGTTAGAACCACAACAAGGAGAATGCTATTGCCAATGTTGTTAATGATGCTCTTACCACTCCCAATATGCCTACGGGATCTCAAACAACATTAGCTTCTTCTCGTTCCAGCCTTGATCTGAGTGGTTTCTCTCCTGCGCAAGTACATAGTCTCATTTCTCAGCTCCATGCTCATGCTACTGTCAACGAAGTTTCAGCTACTCATTCATCATCTTCCATCACTGAACATGGTATAATGGCTTGTAATGCGACTGCAGGTACCATCTCATTTCCTTCATCCAACCTTCGTTTCACCAAATCAAACCTTACATATCAAAACCATTGTCTTTCTTCTCTTTCCCATATGATTTCACCAGATTCTTGGATAGTAGATAGTGGTGCTACAAGTCATGTCTGTTGTAGTTTATCCTTGTTCACTGAGTATAAAACAGTTGAAAATTTGACAGTCACACTTCCAAATGGCATCACCGTACCAATCATGCATATAGGCATTGTCAAACTTACATCTAGGTTGTCATTGCATCATGTCTTACATATTCCTTCATTCAAATTTAATCTCATCAGTGTTAGTTCCATGCTTGCTTATAGTCAATGTTCGGCTCATTTCTTTCCTGATTATTGTGTCATTCAGGACCTTTATCTGGGCTCGATGATTGGGAAGTGTAGCCTCTTTCAAAACCTCTATGTTTTCACGAAAGATGATTTGTGTTCTTCTTCATTGTCATTCTGTGGATCCTTGGTTGCTGATGGAGATCTTTGGCATCATCGCCTTGGACATCCGTCTTTAGCCAAGTTACAAAGCATGTCCTCGTCTCTTTCTTTACCACGAGTGGAGTCCTCATCTCACTGTCCTGTCTGTCCTCTTGCTAAACAACGTCGTCTTTCTTATATTTCAAACAATAATCTTTGTAATACACCATTTGAGCTTGTTCACTTGGATGTTTGGGGTCCTTTTTCAACTGAAACAATAGAAGGTTTTCGATATTTTCTCACTATAGTTGATGATGCAACTCGTGTAACTTGGATTTACCTTTTTAAAAACAAAGAGTTCTGTTCAAACTGTTTTCCCACTTTTTCTGCAATTTGTCAAAACTCATACAATCATACCGTTAAAGCAATAAGGTCTGATAATGCTCCTGAATTAAAGTTTCCTGATATTGTTGCTAAAACTGGTATGTTTCATTATTTCTCATGTGTTGATACACCACAACAAAATTCAGTCGTTGAACGTAAACATCAACATATTTTGAATGTTGCAAGAGCTCTATTTTTCCAATCAAATGTGCCTGTTTCTTTTTGGGGTGATTGTGTGCAAACTGAAGTACATTTGATTAATCGTCTGCCTTCTCCTTTGCTTGGTAATGTTTCACCCTTTGAAAAATTTCTTAAGAAACCTCCTGATTTGAAGTCTCTACGAGTTTTTGGATGTTTATGCTATGTTTCTACATATCCCAAGTTTCGAATCAAGTTTTCACCACGAGCCAAACCCTCTGTTTTTCTTGGTTATCCATCTGGATATAAGGGATACAAAGTTTTAGATCTTGAAACAAATGTCATTTCTATTACTCGAAATTTAGTGTTTCATGAAACGGTTTTTCCTTTCAAAGATACTTCTTTGTTTCCTCCCTCATCTAATGATTTGTTTCCAAATACTATCCTACCTTTACATGTTTCTGATGTGTTTGATATTCCTCTAGATACTCATGCATCACATTCCTCTGTTTTACCTGCATCAAATTCATCTGTTTCATCTGCATCATCATCTCTACCACAAACGACTGTCAATAATTCTTCTGGTTTAGACTTAGTAAACAATGGTATACCTCGACGTCAGACTAAGGCTCCTAGTTACTTATCTGAGTATCATTGTTCTCTTACTTCTCCTATACCAGTTCCACTAAACACTACCAATCTTTATCCGCTTTCATCTGTCATTGCTTATATTGGTTTCACCCTTTCCTACCAAAACTACATTTTATCCATTACAACTGAGATGGAACCAAGATCTTTTGCGGAAGCCATTAAATCTGATGTATGGAATAGTTCTATGAATGAGGAGTTTGTTGCTCTTGAAGACAAAGGTACTTGGACTCTTGCTTCTTTGCCTCCGGGGAAACATGCTATCGGCTGTAAATGGGTCTATAAGTTGAAGTATAATGCAGATGGTACGCTTGGCCGTCGTAAGTCTCGTCTTGTAGCTAAAGGCTATACTCAACAAGAGGGCATCGATTACATAGACACCTTCTCCCCGGTTGCTAAAATGCCTTCTGTCAAGCTTATGCTTGCTCTTGCTGCTCGTCAAGGATGGACTTTGTCTCAGCTTGATGTCTCCAGTGCATTTCTGCATGGCGATCTTGATGAAGAGATATATATGGCTCTTCTTCTTGGCTATACACCACCACCTGGCACTTTGTTACCTGCGAATCCTGTTCTTTGTCTACGTAAATCTCTCTATGGATTGAAGCAGGCATCTCGCCAATGGTATCATCGTTTATCCTCTGTTTTGCTTGGTGATGGGTTTCTTCAGTCCGGTTCTGATAACACTCTCTTTGTCAAGATGGTGGGACATTCTTTCATTGCCTTACTTGTATACGTTGATGATATTGCTATTGCAAGTAATGATGATGCAGCAGTGGTTTCTGTTAAGAAGATTTTGGAACAAGAATTCACTATCAAAGACTTAGGCCAGCTCAAGTACTTCCTTGGTCTTGAGATTGCACGCAATAAGACTGGAATCTCAGTCTGTTAACGTAAGTATACTCTTGGTATCTTACAAGACACTGGTCTTCTTGCCTGCAAGCCTAGCAGTGTTCCAATGGATCCTACTGTGACTCTGAGTTCTGAAACTGGTGTTCCTCTGCCGTCTGCAACACCATACCGAGAACTAGTTGGTCGCCTTCTTTATCTCACAATTACGCGTCCTGACATTACTTTTGCTGTCCATAAGCTCAGTCAGTTCCTAGCTTCGCCTACTGATATTCATCTTCAGGCTGCTCATCGTGTTGTGAGATACTTGAAGTCTAATCCCGGTCAAGGCCTTTTCTACTCTGTTAACACGGATCTCTGCCTCAACGCGTTCTCTGATGCTGATTGGGGTAACTGTCCTGACTCTCGACGTTCTGTCTCAGGATATTGTGTTTACTTGGGTACTAGTTTGATTCACTGGAAGTCCAAGAAGCAACGAGTGGTTAGTCGTAGTAGTGCTGAGGCGGAGTATCGTTCCATGGCTGATACTACTTGTGAGTTGTTATGGCTGGATCAGTTGTTACATGCCTTCCTCATCACGCCATCTTCTCCTGCTAAGCTCTACTGTGATAGTAAATCTGCTTTGCACATTGCTTCTAATCCTGTATTCCATGAACGGACGAAGCATGTGGAACAGGATTGTCATGTTGTGCGTGACCGATTGAAGAGTGGTTTCTTGAAGACTTTTCACGTTGGTACACATGATCAACATGCCGATATCTTCACAAAGCCTTTGGCTTCGGCTTTGTTTCATTACCTCCTCTCCAAGATGTCCATTTCAAGCCTCTATCTTCCTCCTCTACCTTCGAAGACCTTTAATGGTGTTCTTCCTCCACCACCGGATCCAGATTGAGGCTTGAGGAGGGCGTATTACGATATATGTGTCACATATATCTACTTTTACCCTTGTATAGTCTTACCGTGTGTATTTACTACTAGTATATATACTCCTCATGTACATACATTTGACGGTTAATGTGAGATTAATAGAGTTTGTTACAATCTCTCTCCTCTTTATTTCTCTCTCATTCAAGCTTTCCTCCATAGCTGTGATATCATCAACAAATACGATCATGTGATGTCTCCTAGTTGTATATGCAGTGCCTTTTTTTTAAGAAGATAAACACTGAATATTCTTTTTATAGATTTAGCATTGCGAGCTTAATAGCGATTTCGCTTCATATTTGTACAATCTTATACATTTATAACCAACTCCGATTTACTTATAATAAACGAGATTTCTGATATAATTTTTTTCTGATTAACTCATTTAACAATATCGAATTTATCTTCCAACATAAATTATGTGAATATACTCATGATTTTGTGAGATCAATAGTATCACATCCATATCTGCTTGTTGTTTGTTTAGTTTATATAGTTTTGGTGGTATTAGAGTGTCATTATATGGCTTGTTAACTATCACACTAAGAAACTTGCAATAAACATGTTCTTAAGTAGATCAAGGTCTTCAAACTATTGTACAGTGAATATTACCACCGAAACCATCAAAGTAGCAGGAGATGCAAAATTTGCCACGACCGGTCACATCACAACGTGATCATATGGTCAAGTTAATACTGAAACGCAAGTGTTGCTGAATGGTATCAATTACGAACGTTTGAAAAATTAGTTGAAATGTTCTTTTAGTTATACAAAAAGCTAAATTAATGTTCTCTTCAATTTCTCGTAACCACAAGTTGGGTTGTATTTATCAAACATAAAAATAAAGATTCGTCAATTTTGTTGGGTTGGATCCGTCAGGTTAAACTATAAAACCCACAAGGCCTGTTACTGACAATACCCTTTAACGGCACCGTATTGATATCATGACAATTGAACCAACCAAAGTCCACGCACGCGCCCACAGATCTCCGTCGCGATCGAGATCCAACGATCCAGATCCATTCCCTCTCCTTCTGTTTCTTCCTCAAAACAGGACAAAAAAAAATAAATATTCTGAATCTTCGAAAAGTCGACCGAGAAGAAAAAAAAAAAAAATTCAACGGCCGATTCTGACGATCCATCTCCGCCGAGCAGATCTGGTACATCTCTTCTCCGATCTCAATCTCTCTCTCATGTATCTTCCTAACGTTGATTGTTTATTGTATACCAGTGAATTGATTTCTCGACTATTACTCAATTTACGCGATGGCTGCTCCTCCCGCTAGAGCCCGTGCTGATTACGATTACCTCATCAAGCTTCTCTTGATCGGAGACAGCGGTGAGATTCTTCACTCAGATCGTGATACTGCATTATCGATTTAGTTTGTTTCTTTTGCCGATTTGGTTTTTGTTTGATGGATCGGAGAGGGATTAGTGATTTGAATTTTTTAGATCTTACATTTACTACGAGTTAGGTCGCTGGATTTGATCTTTCATCAGCTTAGACTTTTGATTTCTGATAGAGAAGTGAGAGATTATCTTCCGCACGTGTGAGTATATGATAGTTTGTTGTTATCTAATAGACTCTTGTAGATTGGGGACAAATGGTTTTAGAATATAGTCTTTAAATTTTACCCACATTCCTTTCCTTGAGCCAAAGTTTATTGTATATTTCTTGTGTTTAATGCTATAACTGTCACTGTGTTCCAAGTTTATGGATTATTCAGAAATTTATCTAGCAGTTTTCTTACTCTTTATCTCTATTCTTTCATTTGATGGATGTACCAACAGGTGTTGGTAAAAGTTGCCTCCTTTTACGTTTCTCTGATGGCTCATTTACCACCAGTTTCATTACTACTATTGGGTATGTTCTCAATGTTCACACTTGCTCTTCTATGTACTTGTCTGCTCTCATTCATTTTTGATTTTTTTTCTTTCTTGTGTTTAACAGTATTGATTTTAAGATACGGACTATTGAGCTGGATGGGAAGAGAATCAAGCTGCAAATCTGGGATACTGCTGGACAGGAGCGGTTCAGGACCATCACAACTGGTCTCTCTTCCGTTTTTTACTTTAAAATATACTCTTACTGTTATTATATATATGCATTTTCTCCCCTTCCTCGTTGAATACTCATCCCAGTGGTGTGGTTTTTCTTCTTATTGTAGCTTACTACCGTGGAGCCATGGGCATCTTGCTTGTGTATGATGTCACCGATGAATCATCTTTCAACAGTAAGTACTCTCTTTACTCTTTCAACTTACAGTTTTATTAGTTCAGTTCTAGCTTCTAGGTCTTTTGATGCGAGCTTATACTCTTCCTTCTGTTTAGCATTATTATTTTATTGTCAAATTAATAGTTTCTTTTTCTATCCTTGGTTTTATTCCTTTCCAGATATCAGGAACTGGATCCGTAACATTGAGCAGCACGCTTCTGATAATGTCAACAAGATTCTAGTGGGGAACAAGGCTGATATGGATGAAAGCAAACGGGTCTCTCTCTCTCTCTCTTTTACCCTTTCTATATATTTTCCTGCTTATCTATTACACGATCTTGTTTAGCTAACACATACACTGTTGTGTTTTCTTTTTCTCAAGGCTGTGCCAAAAGCGAAGGGCCAGGCTCTTGCAGATGAATACGGAATGAAGTTTTTCGAGACTGTACGTTGTGTTTCTAGGTTTTGTTACGTGTACAGTCCAACTCTTTTCGTTTTTGTTAACACTGATGAGTTTGATTTTGCAGAGTGCCAAGACTAACCTAAACGTTGAGGAAGTTTTCTTTTCAATTGGTAAAGACATCAAGCAAAGACTTGCAGATACTGATGCAAAGGCTGAGGTTCGTTGAGCTTTAATATCTATTTTCATCATCTGACATTGCAATTAGGCTATAAGTGGAGGCATAGAGTAATAATATAGTTATATGATAAGTCTAGTATTGATCAAACTTAACATATTACTATCAATCGGTTTTAACATTGTTGTTGTTTTTTATGATTGTTTGTAGCCACAAACAATCAAAATCAACCAAACCGACCAAGGTGCAGGGACATCTCAAGCTACTCAGAAATCAGCATGTTGTGGTTAGTAAAAAACGGGTCCACGAGGCCGCCATCGAAGGAGAGGATCTTGCTACTGAAGAGACCTTACGCGATGGTGTTTTCTACGTATTCTTTAAAGTTCTTTGTTTCCCCTAACGGGTATAGTGTGAAGGACACATGTTTTTGGTATGGATTCCCTCACATCACACTTGACTTGTGATCGTATCAGATTATCTCACTCACACTCCAACCATTTCCTTTTCTATTTGATCGTATTGTGAAACTGGTACAACTTGTGATATGTGCAGGACCGTGAAATAATTCATATAATGAATTTGTGCATACTTGACTAGAAATAATTAAAATAATGTTCGGCAAGAGAAATTACAACTACATTACAAAAAAGGAAAACTAGTTTACAAACTTCAAATCATTTCAGTTCTTCTCAGTCACTTATATTATCAGAACAAAAGATCTCTTAGAAATGAAGTCTCAGCCCGCTTGAGTTCTTTAGCAACCTGGATCATCTTTGGTCTGTCTTCATCCCTCTCCTTGCAGCATCTCAGTGCAAGTAAAACACAAGCTTCCACCTGCAATCTCTGAGCACTCGTGATATCATTCATCATCACAGGATCAATTACTTCACTGAGCTTCCCAGCGTTGTATAGCCCCTTCACATATTCAAGAATACCAACTGGATAGCCATTAGATACGGTGAAGTAAACGGATCTACCACTGAGAAGAACCATTAACAAGACTCCAAAGCTGTACACATCAGTATACTCCGACACAACCAATGTCGTAAAGTATAATGGATCTAGGTACCCGTATGTCCCAAGCACGTCTTCAGCTTCTATCTGCGATTTTCCTTCCTCTAGCGATATAGAGAAAGACATATCCGACAGCTTTGCGCTCCAGTTCTTGTCCAAGAACACGTGCATCGGCTTAACATCTCTGTATATGATGATCTTAGGGAAGGCCATGTGAAGATAAGCCAAGGCGCTTGCAATCTCCTTCGCTATCTTTATCCTCAAACTCAAAGGCAGTAAAGATTCTTCTCCGTTAACGGTAGTAACACCCCCTCGATGATTCAAGACTCCATGCTCTGCATATTCAAAAACAAGAACTGGAAAAGGGAACTCGAGACAACATCCTAGTAGTTTAAGAAAGTTGTTGTGGCTGCTCATCCGAGCAGACAAGACTATGTCTTTGTAAACCTCTCCTACTCTGCGGTCAGTGACTTTATACTCGGAGAATCTTTTGATCATGTAAGATCTATCTTCGATAACACCTTTGTACCATATGTAGAACCCTTCTTGGGCGACGGAACAGTTTGTATCGAAGTTCTTGGTAGCTTTAAGGATCTGAGAATTGGAGAAGCTGCATATAGGGATGGTTTTACCGTTACAATCAGCGATGACTTCTTTGAGCAAGATGCTTCCATTCTCCACGAACCTCCTTTGCTTCTTTATACTTCTTTCCTTCTTCTTCTTCCCGAAGGAACTAGAACTCAGATTGTTCTTCAACTTCTTCACCAGTTGAATTTTGAACAATTGATTAGTTTTCGTAGCAAAGATATTAAGCTTTTACTCAGTTTGTTTGTTTATTTGTTTAGTCGGTTTGACTAGAGAAAAAGTGAAGGTGAAAAGTCAAAAACTTAGTGCAGAGTTGTAGACTAAACCATATAAATACAAACGTTATGTTCTCGTGAAACTGCTAAGAAAACAAGTGTCTATATTCACTGGAGATAAACATTTCTAATAAAGTATGCAGAATTGGTAGGAGATACTCTTAGAAACGCTATGAAAAGTTCATATATGTAGAAGGTGGTTGAACATAGTATTCACTCAGTTTCATTTTAATTGATGTTTTAAGATTATTTGTTTTTTTTTTTTTTTTGACAACAAGATTATTTGTTTTTGTTTCAATTTAATGATGTTTTCAGATTTATATGCAAATCTTTAATGTTGTGTTGTGTTTTTGATCAATTGTATTTTATTAAATAATTTTATTGGCTGGATTAGCTATAGTTAATACAAAATCTATATTATAATGGTTGAGTTTCAAGGTTTCTTAGTGCGCCACCTCAGCATTAGGTGAATTCTACTTTTAAAACACTGTGGAAAAGTGTCAAATCTAGGTTATTAAGATACAAATACTAACATTTATACTACTAAACTAAAATATAACTTGTGTAATGATGGTCGAAACTAATATATATTTATGAAAGCAGAAAATCCTTTTTTTTTTGGCTTCCTCTGAGGGTCTAGCCTGCAAGTGTATTACGGGTTTAATTTTTAATTGCGCTTCATCATGTTATATGAAGAAAACCCTCAAGTTTATTCCCATATTGTAAACCGTCGTCGTTTAACATGAGTTAAGATTCCTTTCATCATCGTCTCAAACATGTTTGAGTTATAAAGTTGCGCCATGTGTCTGTTCGTAATCTTTTTTTTTGTCACCGGTGAACTCTTCATCTCCTCGTCTTACATCTATTGATCATAAATGTTTCTAATTTGTAGTTCCTTTGTAAACTCTATATATATGATTCACATCTTTGATGAACCTACTGTGTTCGACAGATTGTGGACTCCGCATTTAATTTTTTTAAAATAGCTTTGAAAAGAATAGTTTTTCTAAAGTTGTCCGAGGGTCTCTTCTTCTGCGGCATCTTGTTTCCAATGGGTTCCGGTGGCTGTCAAGAAGTCGCTTCGACGATGAATTTCTCCCTGAGAAGATGGTGGCCTCTTTATGTGACACATGAATTTCCTTTGCTGAATGGTGTCCATGTGTCCTCTCATTCTATGCTAATCTACTTGTGGTGAGCAACTGGAAGCCGTCTTGAGTTTTTTTTGTCGTCCGGATCTGGTTGGACCGATTTTTGTTTTTACCCATCGTTTGGGTCTTTCTATGTACCGTTTTTGGTCTCTTATATGTCTTTTGTAATGATGTTTAATATTATAAGACATAGGAAAAAAATTGATTCGATGAGAGAAACCTCTAATACAAAGCAAACCAATCATTACTGAAAGAATCAGAATGATACTAAAGCAATGTAGTAGTTGATGAAATACTTATAAGCTTACCATCAATGATGTGTCTGAGCAACACAACTCTCTTAGCAACGTTTGGGTTAGAGAAGTCAAGACAAGCAAAGCCATGAGCACGACCAGAATGAAGTTTTTAGCAACTCTCTTAGTCACGGAATGAAGTTTTTCGAGACTGTACGTTGTGTTTCTAGGTTTTGTTACGTGTACAGTCCAACTCTTTTCGTTTTTGTTAACACTGATGAGTTTTATTTCGCAGAGTCCCAAGACTAACCTAAACGTTGAGGAAGTTTTCTTTTCAATTGGTAAAGACATCAAGCAAAGACTTGCAGATACTGATGCAAAGGCTGAGGTTCGTTGAGCTTTAGAATCCATTTTCACTGTCATCATCTGACATTGCAATTAGGCTAAGTGGAGGCATAGAGTAATAATAACCTTAGATAGTTATATGATAAGTCCACTATTGATCAAACTTAACATATTACTATCAAACGGTTTTAACATTGTTGTTTTTTATGATTGTTTGTAGCCACAAACAATCAAAATCAACCAAACCGACCAAGGTGCAGGGACATCTCAAGCTACTCAGAAATCAGCATGTTGTGGTTAGTAAAAAACGGGTCCACGAGGCCGCCATCGAAGGAGAGGATCTTGCTACTGAAGAGACCTTATGCGATGGTGTTTTCTACGTATTCTTTAAAGTTCTTTGTTTCCCCTAACGGGTATAGTGTGAAGGACACATGTTTTTGGTATGGATTCCCTCACATCAGACTTGACTTGTGATCGTATCAGATTATCTCACTCACACTCCAACCATTTCCTTTTTCTATTCGATCAAACTGTTAAACTGGTACAACTTGTGATATGTGTTGTAGGGACTGAAATAAGTTCATATAATGAATTTGTGCATATAGACTAAAAAGAAAGAAAATGATGTTTGGAAAGAGAAATTACGACTACATTACAAAGAAAGAAAACTAGTTTACAAACTTCAAATAATTTTATGGAATCAAGTTATTCTCAATCACTATAATATATTGTCCAAGCAAAAAATGAAACAGAAGTTGCGTTGAGGCTATATTATCAGAACAGTAGATCTCTCAGAACCGCCCGCTTGAATTCTTTAGCTACCTGTATCATCTTCGGCATATCTTCATCCCTCTCTTCACAACATCTCAGTGCAAGTAAAACACAAGCTTCCACCTGCAATCTCTGAACACTCGTGATATAGGCTATTGAGATATCATTTTAAAACACCTATAATCTAAAAAATTGTGACTATTCATAATATATTATTGAAAAACTATAAATAGTCCATGTTCATGAGTTTCTTATTGTAAATTTTTTTCACAATTTATTAAAATGTTTTTTTAGCATATGAATTATTTTAATTATGATTTTTGTTTTGCCTTGTTCAGAAAATCGTATGCGTGCGGCACACCGACGCCTAGTGATTTAGTAAAAAAGCGAATAAAACTCGGAGAGTACATAAGATTTTTTGTACATTTTATATATATATAATATCTTATTTATATGTATAACACAAAAGCCTCGAAATAGTCCGCATTGAGGGTTATGCCACGTTCATAACTCAACACCAAAATCCAAATGAGATGTTGTAACCCGATCAGGAACATTTGGCTGATCGATAGTCGGAACCGATCCAGAGATTTGACTATGGTTCTCGGAATAGGAAACCATAGCCGCAGCACAGCAAGAAAGATTCATAACACGTGAAGTAGTCCCGAGGAGGATACCTAGCGTCCTGTCCACGTTTAGGAAGACGAAATCGTACTGAATCTAACACCTCGCAGGTGTTTTGCAGAGCCTCGAGAGAGAAAAGGGAACTCTTGCTCGGACAACCTGGAGCCCTTTTAAAGCCAAGCCTTGCAGGAACCCAAAAATTGGGCGGAGGAATCAGAGCCACGCTTATAGCTTGCCAATACCTCTCAGTTTCCTCTTCATCAGCGGCGAACCTCAAAAATGCTGGTTTGGGAAGAACATCACCGCTAGACGAATCAAGATCACTCTATTCAAAACAGTATGGTACGGTGTCGTCCGAGGCTCTCCATTCAGTGGACATGATCGAAAAGCACCACAAAAAGCAGGGGAGAGAAAAGAAGATAGAAATTTCTCTACCATAAGATGACTTGTGCGGAGAAAAGTGAGTAAATAATTTGAAAACTTACTCCACATATTTATAAGCAAAAAATTCACTATTCATCTTTGACTTTTGATCATTAAATTTTCGCATAATCCACCTAACTTTCCTAACTAGTTCAAAATACTTGCAAGAACACTGTGATTCTTACGAGCTGGGGGACTAACTGTTGGGGTCAAAATCGGTTACGACGGAATCAACGACCAAAAGTCTCCGCAAAAATGTTAAACAATTATCCGAAGATCCAAAGACATTAAAACTCACAACAAGAGTACATACCGAGAAGGATTCTTAGCTCTTCGGACAAAAGAACTTGAGAAACCAAACAATCGGAACACGAAAACTATCACCGAGGAGTTGGATATACAACATCCAACTCGCCCGGGGGCGAGTTGGGCGTAACGTCCAAATCGCCATAGGGCGAGTTTGGCCGTGACCTCCAACTCGCCCGTTGGCGAGTCGGACACAATACCTACACCACTCGACTCGATCCTACTCTGAACTACGATCAGATCATCTCTCATTTCGTCTCAATCCGAGTTATCGTCGGAACTTTACGATGAAAACTGCGAAGACTTGTTTTCTCGTAATAGTTCGAATTAATCGTATAAAACGGCAGAGGTTAACGTAAGACCAACGATTGCCTTGACTATACGAGTAATTCGAGCTATTTTATAAGACGGCATCATGTCACAGAACGATTTCTATAAAAATCGTAAAAATGGTTAAAATCGTAAAACGATCCAAAAGATCCTAAAACACGATAAAAGTCCACTTATGACTTTAGACGAAATCTAGCCCAAGGATATGATGACGGTTTATCCCTCATTTTCAGGAAAGGTCAAATGTCAAGTTTGGAAGATAAATGGAAGTTCCAAGGATAATTATGAAGAGGAGTATATAAGGAGAAAGTCGAGCCAAGAAGAAGCAGAGATTTTTCTACAACTCAAGGCAAAAACGAAGAACCAAACCGCCTAGAAGAGGAGTATATAAGCAGAAGGCCAAGCCAAGAAGAAGCAAAGATTTTTCTAGGCTCAGAACCTTTCACACCAGCAAAAGCTTAGCACTTAGTGAAAATAGGAAACTTTCCGTTTTGTTATCGAGCTGCGTGTCAGTTAGGTTTGATAGTCTTAGGTTGATAGAACTAGAGAACTTGCCGTCAGCTCTTGTGGCCAAGGCTCTTACCTCGTTGTACCATTCTTACGGAAATTCAGAATAATAAATCTCTTTGCTCTCTTTTTCGTTTCTCATATTTTTGTTTGTTATTTCGTTTTCTGATTGCTTGGCGTGTGCTTAGCAGATATCCGGGACCTCTGGGGAATTAGGGTTTACCCGACTTCCCTTATTTTACAGAAAATTGACAATGCGAATTTTGGTTTCCAAAACGTTTTTGAGATCTCCATGACTTCGATACAGCAGTTCTTGCAAAACAATTATAGAGATTAATCCATTATCCGAATTCCTTACTCACACGTGTCCTAAAGGGAAGGTATTACAACCACACCTCTCCCTTGGAAGATCGACGGACATACTCAGCTTCACATGGTTGGCATAGTATCATGGCACCAAAACCTTTACTCATATTGGGTTTACGGAAAACAATTGGTACGGGTCGAGATACGAGGTTTTGGAGTGAGCCTTGGGTTCATAACTCAGTGGCCCGATCACCTAGACCTGCTGAGCACATTGTCTATAGACTACCCCAACTCTCTGTTCGGGCCTATCTTAGGAATGATACCAAAGAGTGGGATATACATCTTTTACGGGAATTTTTTCAGCCAGACGATATCCCTTTGATACTTGGGATAAAACCTTCCTGCTCTCTTGCTCTGGATAGATATGTTTGGAATCATACAAAAATTACCCTCACTGTGCTGATGCTGACTGGGCATCATGTCATGATAGGTCAGGAGTATACTTAGTTAAAACTGGCTATGAGCTACTCCAATCGAACAAGAGGAGTCTCACACATGAAGAGGTTCTCGAACCAAGTTACACAAGCCTCCAGAGCCATGTGTGGACGATAAAGGCTCCAAGAAAGATGAAGCATTTCTTGTGGCAAGCTATCTCGGGCTGTATGACGATAGCAGATAGGCTCATTTATAGACACATGGGCACCAATGGGACCTGTCCTGGATGTTTTAGCCTAGTGGAGTCGATTAATCACCTTCTTTTTTATTTCCCCCAGCCCTGCCGGTTTGGGCTTTAAAGGACTATCAGTCTCTTCTGGGTGACTTCCCGAGTACATCTATATACCAAAACATGAGCTTTCTGTTTTGGAAGAGAAAAGAGGTGGCTCCATTGAGGCCACAATTCGACACTGGTACATTTGGAAGGGAAAGAATGACACTCTTTAATGGGAAAGTCGTATCCCCGATGGACACTCTTCAACATGCGTCTCTTGAGGCAGAATTGATGCGTCATGGATGACAACCCTACTTCTATAGAGGTTGAGACAGTGCCCCCTTGAATACCTCAAATCCCTACTTGCCAAATTTTTGCGTCATGGATCTATAATGGCAGTGTGAGTGGTTTAGGATGGAGTCTTAAGGATCAAATGTGTTTGGAAGTCTTTGGATTACGGGGGTGTAGAAGAAGCCTCTCAGCTTTGCATGCTGAGATGGAAGGTTTACTTTGGGCAGCCCCATGTATGAGAGACATGAGGATAACTTCGATACGGTTTAAGACGGATTGCTCGGATCTAGTGGACATGACTAAAAATCTGGAGGATTAGCCGACCTTCATGACAGAGGTTGAAGTGTTCCATAGATTACAGGAGGACTTCAAGGATGTGTGCCTGTCTAATATTCCTAGGAGTAGGAATGGTCGAGCGGTCGCTCTAGCAAAGAAGCAAGAACCAGAGGTTGTACTTTTTCCCATA